ACTGCCTGTGGCGGTGGTGATTGTGGTTGTGGCTGGGGCTGGGGCTGGGGTGGCGGCTGCGGCTGGGCCACTGTGGCCGGTGGAGGAGCGGCGGCGGCGGCGATGGGCGAAGCGCTGTCTTGCGATGGAGGAGGGAGAGTGGCGCCGAGGTGGGCGTGGACCAGGGATCGGAGCTCGTGCAGGGCGCGTCGGGTCTTGCGTTGGCGTTTCTTGACCCGCGCGTTCTCGTCCTCGAGCTGGCGCATCCGCTTGGCCATCGCATTGATGGCCTCCACCACGAGCGTGTCCCCGCCCGACTTCTCCGTGGGCGGATTGTGCGCAGGCCGACCTGAAGGGGTTTGGGCGCTGCTGGTGGTGGTAGTTGCTTCGCCTGGGTCGGTCGGTTGGGGTCTGATCCACTGCATCTTCGGTCGGCTCTGCTGCTCGTCTGCGCAACCAGCACGTGCACGTGTGCGCGTTGAGTTTGAAGTCCTCCGCGCAGCTTTCTCGTGGCCGCCTCGGCTCGCAAGGAGGAGAAAACAGAACCCCCCACCCGTCGTCGTACCTCTGGTCGAGCGACGGCGAGGGCGCCCCTTTCGGCGAGGCGGGGCGGGGCGGAAGCAGTTGTGGGCGGCTCCTCGCTCGATGCAGCCGCCGCACGGCTCCCCCCTGACGCCACCGCCACCCCCAATGAGGTTTTAGCCAGACCAGGGAAGAAGGAAGAAGGGGGAGTCGTTACCCATCGCATTGGAGGCCAGCCAGGCCGCACGGCCCACACGTTGGCGGTACCACAAACATGAACCAGGCCTGCTTGTTGCTTTGGCCCCGACGGAAAAGGCTTCTTTTCGTGGGGTTGGTGAAACTGGCCACAAAATCAACAAATCAAATACAGCCAAAAGAGCCGAGCATAGCGGCGGTCGGGAGCGTTCCACCAACCAACCGGCGCTGCCATAACGAACAGCAACTAATTTACCTAATTTTACCGGAGCGTAGCTACAGCCGTTGGCGGGAACGACGAGTACGGCAGCACCAACAATAAAATAAATTACTAACGAAAAACGTGATGGCCGGCACCAAGCCGCAACGGATGATGGATTCTGCCCGCATCCGCTGCCCCTCTTCCTCTTCTCCCCGCACCTTCCCCTCTTCCTCTTCGTCTCCTCTCTTTTCTTCTTCTTCTTCGTCGTTTTCGTTCTTTCGATTGTCGGGGGTGGCCTTTGTGGTCCTCCTGTGCGGCCTCTTCTTCGCGGCCGGCCCGTCGATGGTGGAGGCCCAGACGTGCGAGCCCTTCGCCCAACAGCCCTCCATCTGCGTGGCCGCAGTGCCCCG